CAGAGCCTTCAGAAGAACTTTCTCAGAAGATAAAAAGAGCCCTGCTGGATCTGACTGCTGGTCCACCTAGCCTAGCATCCTGTTTCACCACAGTGGTCACCAGTTGCCTTCGAGGGCCAATAAACAGGGCATCTGTGCCCTCCTCTGGTGTCGCCTCGTACCACCGGTATTCAGAGGTTTGCTGCCTTTGCATATGGAGCCTCCCTTCAGTCACCATGGCTGGCAGCCATTTTTGAACTTCTCCTCCATGAATCTGTCTAACCTCCCTTTTCAAAGAGCAAGAGTCCAGGAGCGCCTGAAAGACTAACACAATCTGTGGCAGGGGAAGAGCTTTCCTGAGTCAGCTAGATCCAAGATGGGTGGCCATGTTTGTCTGTAGCAGCAGAAAAGAGCAAGAATCCAGGAGCACCTGAAAGGCTGACAAAATTTGGGGCAGGGGAAGAGCTTACGTGAGTCCCTGCTCACTTCTTCAGAGACAGCTAGAATGTGAGTCCATCTGTCCATCTTGGAGAGTCGAGTGATTTCAGATGCCAAATGGCATCAGCAGGCAAATGACGATAGCAGGCATTGTTGGATTAGGTGTGATATGCAGAGGGGTTGCAGGCATGGAAAAATCAGCATTGGTAATGAGACAGGAAACCAAGGTCTCGATTAAGTTCAGGTGGATGCACTGTCTTGAGCTTCCTTATCAGTTGCAATTCAGCAGCCTCTCTTTCTAATCTCCCTTTGAAATTCCTTTGTAAGAGAAGTGCTGCTCTTACATCAGCAACTGAATGTCCTGGAAGGTTAAAATGTCCCCCGTGCCGTCTCCCTTTTTACAGCCATCTGTGCCCACGGCCACTACGACATCCACTGACTGTGGATTCCACAGTTTACTCATGGAGTAAAGAAGAGCTGCCTGATGAGAACAGCAGCAGAAGTAGTGGATCCTGTTTGCTTTCTTTCTTCTGGAGCTCTGACTCCCAGCCCAGGACACAAAGGCGTGTGCTTTGTGTCGACTTCTGCATGCCGAGGAGGCGGTGGGCTGGAGAGGAGGGGACCGTGACAGGCACGGAGAGGAGGTCTGTTGGATGATAGTGAGATATTGAAAAAATTGTATTTAGCAGAGATAAGATGGTCCAGCAGAGCCAGGGTAAAATAACTCAGATTGAGAGTCCGTGTGTGATTAAAATATAAAGTTTTTACTAAATTCTAGCATGGGAAGGGTAACTGGGATGAAAATAACAACAGAGCATAATCGGCTACATCCTTACTCTACAAAGACAAAACTAGAAGAGAAAGATTGTGGCTGCTCTTCTTGTTCTTCAGAACACCAAACAAAGACGGGAAGAGAAGCCATAAAATGGTAATACACCTTGGCACTTTAGTCCCAATCAAATCCTTGGACCAGGGAGAAAATTCCCGGGCATTCCTACAGCTAAAGAACATTGGTTACATGAGAAACAGGTGACTTCCTGTGAGTAACATAAACATTTAGCCCCAGAGATACTGAGTGTTTTCAACTTGTAATACCCAACAAGGTCCAAGCTGGAAGCCAGTCAGGACAGGGCTGCCTGACCCATGAGGCACCGCAGGTATCGTGCCCGGGGCCCACAGCACTTTCAGGGGCCCGTGCAGGACAGTAGTGTGGCTCGTTGTTGGGTGTTACAAGTCAAAACACTTCAGTATTTACAGGGTTAATGATGTTTGTTAAGTCACATGTTTGTTTGTTACCAATCTGTTTAGACAATAGGATGCCCAGGAACTTTGGAGCTAGTTTGCTAGTCTGATTGGAAACCAAGTTGTCAAGTATTTAGCATATTGGCTTCTCCTCCCATTCTTTGTTCTGACGGAGAAGGAGACGCCATTGGGCTCTTCCCGTTTTACCCTTTAGCTGCAAGGATGTAGACACATTAGCTCTTTGTTATTTTACATCCTGTGTACCTTTTTCCAATGTTAGGTTTATAGTAAACTTTTATATTTTAATACACACCATGGACTCAGCCTCTTAATACTCTGCTGACTTACTTAAAAGGAATCCCAACACTGGTGAAGGGGGATTATTGTATTACCATCTTGGACTGGTTTTTAGTTATTGGTCTGCTTTTGATTACTGCCTATGGCGGTAGGCAACCATTTCAGTGCTGAGAGAACGTCGTCATCTTTCATTAACATCTATGTTCTGAGTACTTATGATTTTATATGCTGTGATTTTAATTTAATTTTGTCTTTTAGCATATTTTGGAGTTTTAATGCCTACATGTATATGTGTGTGTGTGTGTGTGTGTGTGTGTGTGTGTGTGTAAGCTGCCCTGAGCTTGCTATGGCGGGTTTTTAAAAAATAAATTTAATACATACATAAATAGATGTTTTGTAGGCTGTAAATTGCCCAGATCCCGCTTGCAGGTTGGGCCATTCATAAGTCCAACGAAATAAATAAAATGAAATTAAAAATCAGAAAGGGGGAAGAATCAACTTTTAGGGTCAAACGTTTTTATTTTTTTCTCACATCAAATAATAATAATAATAAAAATGGGATGTTTAGGGCCCCTGAAAAATTTATTAAATTTTGCCTGGAACAGATTTTTTTAAAGTATTTAAAGTTATCTCAAAAATAATGGTTTAATATGGATATGATTACGGTGGGAGGGGCCCAGGAAGGCCAAAGTGCAGCCCAGGACCCCCCCTGAGGAGTCCGGATGCGGCCCCGAGTCAGGACTAGAGAAAAACGCTGAAATCCATCAACAGAGAGCAGTCAGGTCGGCTTCAGCCCTCTGTGTTTCAGACTAGACCCCCCCCCCCCCCCCCAGCACAAGACACCTTTCCTTCTTGAAAGAGCCTTCCTGTGTAATACCCTCCCAGCTGCTCTGCTCGCCAGAAGTGTCCCGCAAATGCTTCCCCTCCTCTTCGCCTGAACTTTGGCCAGCCAGGAGGGCTCCCCGATGAACGGGGGCCTGTCCCGGAGGCAGACCCAGATGCGCAGCCACGTCCGTCGGTCTGTTGCAGGAGGAGAATCCAGGAGCCGTCCTGAAGCCGTGAGCGGCGACTCACGAGAAGTCCTGCCCTGCCACGAATGTTACTCACCCTTCAGGTGCTCCTGGCCTCTCCGGCTCCCTCCCGCTGCCCCTGAGTCCTTCCTTCCTTCCTGCTGCGTGTGGGGAGACAGTCACAGCTGGAAAGGAGTTCCCTTGGAAGCGCCGGAGTGGGAGCGTTGCAACAAACACAACCAAGAATAAAAGAAACTGAACGACAAAGATGATGAATATCTCAATGGCGGAAGTGAACCAAAAAATGAAACAACAGTCGTTGTTGTCGTTGTTGCTTTTAAAAAAATCCCATCTCTACCTGACACAGGTGAGCGAGAGCTCGAAAGTGCTCAGGTGTGTAATTCTCTCTGGTTGAGTTCCGTCTGCCCCACGAGGAGTGTAAATGAGCCTGCGTCTAACTGCAGCAGCCCGAGACAGATGAAGCCCGGACCGCAGAACCCACCCTTTCCACCCTTTGAGGGTGTCTCTTGAAATGCTCCTGGCCTCGTTCGCGCCGAGCCTGGTGGCCCACCTCTGGGAAAAAAAACCCGCGTACAGTTTCCCCTCCGCACCGATCTCTCTGGCCCAGCGGGCGGCGTGAGCCACTAGACCTCCTCCCAGGGTCAGTCTCCCTGGCCTTCAAGAGCCCCCCCCCCGTTAATTTAGCCCCCTGCAGCCACGAGTGGCTGGTTCCTTTCTTTGCCCGTTTCTTGAGCACGGGTGGGCGCCTCTGCCCTGGCATCGCTTCTTTCGCATGGGGGTGTGTGTGTGTGTGTGTTTAAAAACGTTTTTTTGTTCCACGTTCCGGATCTAAATGAAGGCCAGCAGCCGGTGAAAAGCCCCGCGTGTTTGGGGAGGCCTCCTGGCGCGGCCCTGCGGCAGGCAGGCGGGTGTTGTCAGAGGCGGGCTGTTGCCTCCCGTTATCTCAGGGGATCATCAGACCCCTGCTGCGCTGACCTGGTTCCGGGGGGGGGGGCTTCTCTCCTCGACATTCTGCCTGCTCGACTGTGGCCCCCCTGGCGCTTTGGAAGACCCCAGGCCCCCCCCCCCCCCCGATCTGGGCGCTGCCCCGTCATCAA